TGAAAGGCAAGAAGATGCCAAGACATCTAAGGAAAGCCAAAGAGGGCTGTTCCAGGACTCTCACACTGTGAGCTCATGGGGCCTCACTAAGGCTGTAGCTAAACCTGGGACAAGCAGATTCAGTAAACAAAAACAATAGGTATTATGACTCCATAGATGAGAAAAATACAATTTAAAACCAGTGGGTTGGAACCAAGTCTGTCCTTAAGAGAGAAATTAAATAACATTAAATCATTTCGTTTCTAGTAAGTGAAGAGCTAAATAAATTTCACTTAAGTTAAAACAGGAAATATCTCCACTACACCATCCCCCAAAAGGAAAGAAATAAGAAAAAAACAATAAAAGTTAACTGAAATTTTAATAGAGAATTAGTAATAAATCTAAGAATTTTTTTTTTTTTTTTTTTTAGAGAGAGAGAGCACGTGAGCAGGATGGGGTAAGGGGATGGGAAGGAGGCACAGGGGACAGAAGGAGAGAGACTCCCAAGCAGGCTCCACACCCAGTGCAGAGCCGACATGGGGCTTGATTTCACAACTCTGAGATCACAATCTAAGCCAATATCAAGAGTCAGATGCTCAACTGACTGAGCCACCTGGGCACCTCTAAGAATTGATTCTTTGCAAAAAATAATCAAGAACCAAATCACTAAAAGTCTAACAAAAAAATATACTAAATTAGACAACAAAAGAAATCCGTAGGAACTGTGTAATTCTGTGCTAATCAATTTGAAATTCTCAATGCAAAGGTCATTTATGTAGAAAAATTTAAAGTAATAAAACTGACAAAAGATGAAATAAAAATCCTTAATTAACCAATACTTATGAGTAAAACAGAAGAAGCTGTCAGAATATTGTCTCTAACAGAAGCTCCAAACCTAAAAGTTTTTATGAACAAATTTTAAATGTTTGTCAAGAAAAATAATTCCCATTACATAAGCTAAAAATAATGAAAGTTTTCTAATTTATTTTATGATTCTACATATCCTTCAAGAACACAAACTTGGTACTTGTAAAACTGAAAAATATAAGCCAATCTTACTTTTGACTTGACGACAAATCAAACACCGCAGCTTATTTAAACAAAGAACACAGCAGAATCAGGAATTCAAAAATGGTTGGATGATAGAACATCTATTGATATAATTCATTATCTTCATAAATAAAAAAATGAGTCGCATGATTATCTCACTAGAGGCCAAAATCCATTTGATAATTTTCAATGTCATTCTTGACTTTTACCAAAAAATGTTAGAATGAAACTTCTTAGCAAGCAGGACGAGAAGACTTCCTTAACCAGAGAAAGAATATTTATGTCAGATTGGCCAATATCACATTTAATTGGGCAACCTGGATATTAAAGTCAGAGCTAGGCATGGGAGCTCGCTATCATCACAACTTTTTAATATTTTCCTGGAACTCTTAGTCAACAGTACATCAACAGAAAGAAATATGAAGTATAAATATTGGAAAGGAGAAAAACACTGTGATTTGCCTCAGAGGTTACGAGAATAATATCCTTGATGGGCTTGGGCTTTTGGAAACCAAATTCTCCTTATTTTCTGCTTTTTGCCTGGTTCATTTCTCCCCTGGGGCAATGAGCAGCAAGCCTTCTATCTGCTTCAAGTAGAGAGGGAAGGAAAAGGGATATGTACTGAGAAGAAAGACAAGAGGAACTAGGAACAGCTCAAAAATATTACTGCACACACTCATGCACACAAACACACATGCACACACACAACACAAATCTGGAGAAAAGGGTAACAGGATGTATTCCTTGATGGTAAAATAACAATTGATTTTCTTCTTTACACTGTTTGACAATATACAAATTTTCTACAGTGACCATTTATTACTCATGCAGTAGAAAAAATATATGTTATTTCAAAAGAAGAGGCAAACAAGGGGATGGTAAGAAACCATACCAGAGCTGTGTGGCTGGTGGGGAGTTGGGGAGCAGAATCCAAGGGCAATGGGTAACCAGGATGTATTGAAAGAACTGTGGCTCTACCACCAGAAGACTTGGATTCATTTCTGGTTGCATAACTGATAAGCCTGTTAACTCCAGGGAAATCGCTTAACTCTCTGAGCCTCGATTTCCTTTGGGGAAACTCCGATGCCCTGCTCTTCATATTCCCACCTGGAGGGGCTTCCCTGGAGATTTAGGACCTTCCCTTTGCTTGACACTGGAGCTTATGGTTCAAGTTACCATACATCACAATTTGCCCAGCCCCATTAATGCTCTTGTCTCATGGTATTTATTCATTTCTTCCCTTCTCACTCTCAAAACTCTCTTGGCTTGAACACTAAATTATGTGGCCATTCTACCCATGGCAGCTTTGTCCCTGAGAAAATGGCTACTACATTCATAGTTTTCAATAAATGTGGACTTTAGCAAACTCTGGCTGCCGGAGGAAGCAGGCTGCTGGGGTCTCGGTGAAGCCCACGTGCCTATGTGGCTGCTACACGTCACCTGCAACTGCCCAGGCATGGGGAGGTATTGTCATCTGTCAGGCATCGGTAGGCACCACTGTGCTTGCAGCTTTGACCGTGGATCACAGCCAAGTGTGCAGGCCAAGAGTCTGAATTGTGCAGTCAGCACTAATCTATAGAGGTGTGTCGTGCCAGGCACAGGTAAAGCAGGGCTAGATCAGATGTCCCGGACGTCATCCATATGTGTTGCTTCAGATCCCATTTAGAGCTGTGTGGAGGGAGAAAACCATGGAGGGATTAAAACCCCAGTTGGATTCACCCCAGTTTGGCTCTGGTTTGTTAAATACGTAAGCACCGACCAAGATTTTAGATTTCAGGACCTATATTGTGGATTAATCCACAGATTTTCTCCTTCCCCCAAATACTGCTGGCCTCTGGCAACACTGAATATTGTGTTCTGAAAAAAATAACTGTGATAAGTTAACTTCTTTGGTGGCTGGAGATTTCTTGTGGTTCTAAATTTTGTGGAGTATGGGCCCAATGCGATAATAATCTTATGTGTTCCATTAACTCTTTGAACTCTTTAAAAATGGGGCTTCTGAGAGACCATGAAGGAGCCACACCCATTCCATGGAAGACAGCCCAGTCTGCAGCTGCTAAAGGCCAAAAACCTCTGGTTGAGACTGAGCAGGACTGGAAATGGAGAAATGAAATTTTGGACGTGAATTTCTTTGCCTATCAAGTCTCAGGAAAAACTAAAAATTCGAATTCAACTTTAATTTCTTTGGACTTTTAACTCCACAAGTTAAGGAGATTTAACTTTGGACTTTACTTCTGTTGGACTGAAACTTCTTTGGACTTTCTTTAGAAGAGTGTTATTTAATTTTTGGCCTTCAATATCTCCCTTGGAATTTCCTAATGGGCAGGAGTTCATATTCAGATTTGGTTCCCTCTATGTTGCTGGTATGATATAATTGAATATATTGTTATTTAACCACATTGCAGAACTTCTGAAAAGCATTATATCAGAGAACATGGCTGAACAGTTTTGTGGGGAGGAAAACAGAATCAGGAGTGCATTTGCACTTAGTTAAGTTAGTGTAGTCTTTGGATTCATTCAGAGTCTTCTGAGGGCAAATTCCCAACTATCCACCTGCGATCCCAGAAAGATTTTCCAAAGGCGATGTGGCTAGTACTGGAGGGCTGGTCTCATAAAGTGGGAGCAGCACCGCTATGAGAAAAAGCACCCCCAGGACAAATAGGCACACCTGTGATGACCATGCGCTTGGGGGTTAAACTCAGTAGTTTGAACAAAAGAGCTGGGATGTACCAGGAGAAATCACTTCCAGTCCTCTCCTCGTGTTTCCAAGAGTAATATTGCTGGCTCTCCTGCCCCCCTCACCCACTCATCCCCCTAAGGAGGAGGGAGTTACCTATTCATGAAATGACAGCCCTCAGTAGATGCTTCCCAGTTGCGTGGAGCTCATCTATCAAAAGCCTTTAAGCATGCGCGTTGTTCTCCTCCTGGATTCGCGGTAAGTGAATCTGCTGTGAAGACCCAAACCTGGACTTGAATGGGCTGCCCCAGGTCTATGCTGATGGGTGTTGTGTGTGCCTGTGGGAAGTGGGGCGGGAATGTTACCGCACTCCTTGTGTATGTCAGCCGCTCTCCCCGGTAACTTTTATCAGTAATAAAGCTGACGGTTCCCTCTTCACTTGCCTGGCTCCTGTAGATTCTGAACTTGGGCAAGAACAGAGGTATTTGTTTAGTCTATAGAGCCCCCAAGAAACCTCACCTTTGAAGGGTGAATAATAAAACACCGCTACCACACAAAGCTGTATTGAAAAGTTGAGCAGATAACAGATGTGAACATATTTTGTCAATTGCTGGTGGTGACGTACTTTGGCCAATGACCATTGTTAACCTTTTTAGTTCTAAGATAAGCATCACCCACTTTGAAAACCAGTAAAAGGGCACTGCTGACTGTCACGTATTAGTAGCGTGAATGGCCACCACTTACTGACTCCCTACTCCATGCTGGGCACTCGGGACAGTTTTCCACTCTGAGCATGTCTGGCTTTCTTGACATTACCGCTTTCCTCAGCCTGTGGGGGGAAAGGAAGTCCAGGAGAGAATGCTGCAGTGTGTGCCAACGGGGGGACCCGGGTGCCATTTCTCATAAATACAGAATAAATACATTTGCTATTGACACTGTCTCTGCAAAAAGAGCTGGGAAGGGGCCGCCCCCATCCACACTCTTCTTCAAGGTTGGAAGGGGTCATAGCTTACCCGCTTCTTCTCTCCTAACTGGGTATCTTTGTGTGTCAACTTCCCATTAGCTATTCTGTGGACAGGGCGGCCGGCCCCAGCTGCCCTGTGCACCCTATCCCCCAAGCAGAGATAATGAGACAGTGGTACTTATATAACCGGGTCTGATTAGAGTCTCAGATCTTTGCACCTCAACAGCTGTGTGTTGTCACCAATGGAAATTTCTAACTCGTCTGCCAATTCCCAGGTTGCCCAAATAAGTGGCTGAAAGAGTGGCTGTTGTTTCATCGTTTATTAGAACGGAATTTAGGTTCTGATAAACCCTAATGCTGAAAATTAGCTCCGAGGAAACTGGCTGCCGATCCTGGTCTCTGGCTGATAGGAACAAGTAGAATTTATTCAGGTAGGTTTTTTTTTATCCTGTAGCCAGTTCAGCACACAAATTACTTCAGAGCTATTTTTAAAAACGTAATAAGACCAATACTTAGGAGAGCCAGATGCAGTGTGAGGAGGATCAGAAAGCATCTATTACGGGCTCGACATTCACTCTCCCACAAAGCCTCGAATGATATTGAAAAATCTCTTCCTGGTCTTCCTGGTGGCTTAGCCACGTCGCTGGAATCCTCTGGGTGTTGGTCAGACTTGCCATGGGTGGGGAAGTCATTTTAGCCTGCAAAGTCATGTTAGAATTAGCCTTTTGATACGGGCAGAGTGAGGGGCACTCAGAGTGAGGCTTTTCAGACTCCGTTACATGGAGAGGTTACCTCTAGAACGACGACGGTTCTGCAATCCGCTCATTCAAAACTCTGGCCCTTGAACATTCTTTTCAAGGTCTGCAACGAAAGAGGCTTTGCCTCCTTGGTAGTGTGTTTGGGGGTCTCCCACCCACTGCAGGGGAAAAACACAAAACTATTTTTCAAACACTTTCTAGAACTTTCCTTCTTTTTCTGACACTATGAAGCATAAACCCTCCTCCATCACCACTCGCCTCTGATTCTTTTATGCATAATTCTTGGAGGTTGCAATGAATTCCACCCCCTGGGCCTTTCCTTTTGAAGACCAGAATGATCAGGAGATCAACCAGGATACATTGGGTTCCCAGCTGGGAGCCTCAGTGGGAGAGGTGGAGGTCGGTCACTAAGCAAAGTTACAGGACACCGTTCCTGGCCTCGTTGGAACTTACCATCTAGTGAAAAAATTCTTTAATTTTTCCCTGTCAGGCAGAGTTTTCTTGCCTCTCCCCGAGCTCTTGTTCGTTTTGGCCGCGTCCTTCCCAAGCCTTTCCAAGTTCTCCCGATTCCTTCTTCTTGTCGGAGGTCCAGCTTGAACTTCATACAGGAAAACAATAATCTTACTTTAAACGATTTCTAAATCCAAAAAACTATAACATCTTGCTTATATTATTTTAAAATTCAAATGGGAAATCAGGCGGATTTGAGGCAGGGTTGGGTTCTGGCTCTGCCATTGCCCCGCTGCTCAATGTCAGGCGAGGCCCTTAACCTTTCTCTGCCGCAGTTAGGCCACCTCTGAACCGTGGGTAGCCACAGTCATTACAGGCTTGCCTGGAGTATTTGAGACGAGCTAGTGAAAGCTCCCTGTACTGATTTTCTTCCTTATGGTGAAAAGTAAAAATGCTAAAAATTACTACTGCCTTCTCATGGATTAAAATAAAACAGGCTCAGGGCGCCTGGGTGGCTCAGGTCATGATCCCAGGGTTCTGGGATCGAGCTCCGCATCGGGCTCCCTGCTCCGCGGGGAGCCTGCTTCTCCCTCTCCCTCTGCCTGCCTTTCTGCCTACTTGTGATCTCTCTCTGTGAAATAAATAAATAAAATCTTAAAAAAAAAAAAAAAAAGCCTCATGGTTCTCAAAAGCAATGCACCCAGTACCTCCTCTGGGATAGCTTTCCTAGGGCTGGATCTGCGCTGCCAGCCCCCACGGCCACGGTTCACACGTCTCCTGCTCACAGGGCGTCGTGGCGCTGTGTGTCCATAAACCAGCCCCTCCCTCGGGTAATGAAGCCCCCAAGCAACACAGGGCATCTCCTCCCCTGGGGTCCCCAGCTCTTTCACACTCACCTCCCAGCTTATAAAGTACTTCCACATATACGAACATATTATCTCATTTAATCCTTCCAACAATCACGTGAGCTGTTTCCCTGGGTCCCCTGTTAGAGAGGATAAAATGCGCTCAGAAAAACCAAGTAATTTTTCCATGGTCAAAATGCTCACGAACAAGGTAACTTGAACATGAACCTTGGCCGCCTGGTTGTAAAGGTGGTGTTTCTGTGGCCTCTCTGTCCTATGGGCCCGGGGTTCTCCACTCCTGCTTCCGGGGCTGTCCCTTTTACATGGTCAACACCTCCCACAGGTAGACTGAAGGCTCAAGTAGTCCCCGGGTTTGAGAATTCAAACTGGGGCTGGGGCTGCAATGGACCGGCTAAGTGCCGGGCTGGCTGCCTGAACTTGCTGGGCTGCCCTGTCCGCTTCCTCTGGGCACCAGAGTCCTGCCTGAAAGGGTTCTGTAGGATTGACAAAAAGCATCCTGAGTAGTTTTAAACTCCAGACAAGAAAGGGTTGCTGGGACTAGTGGAAGCCACAGTGGCGTAGATCCAGAGTCATGGGCTATAAACAGCTTACGGTGGCTTCTGATATGAAGTCTGATTCAGTTTTACTGCCTCATCTCCAAAATGCTTAGCAAATGCAGAGAAGGGGACCTCTGTGCGGAGCGTGGCCAGATTCCTTTTCCTGAGTTAGAGCATGCCACAGTTCCTCCCCCTTATCGATCCGGGACATACCCGGGTGCTTTTCCTTGGCCTCTGCCAAGGTACTTGCTCAAGGCTCTGTCTGAGCAGAAGTGTGGCCAATCCCCATGTGCTCCACAAAACGCTTGTTGCTTCCTCCTCTCAGTGAGAGGGAAACGGCTCCTTCTGTTTCCTTAACCCCCTAGTCTTACATCCCCACTGATTCTGGAAGCTTTCTGTTCTTGGCTTGGCTGTGCCTCCGTCCCAGTGAGGTAACAGGTGCTGTCTTCTATTCCTTTTGGACTGAACTGGGTTCTGAGCTAAAAATGGATTCCCTGGTGAACAAAAGCCTTCATCTTTATGGACAGTTTATCTGATTATAGCACCCTGCACTTGGACACTTTTTCTACTCATTTCCAATTATGGATGGGCTCGCGGTGTGTGCAGGGAGCAGACCTTTGCTGACATCTTCACCTGAATGAGAAGGGGACTGGCATGCCTCCAGCATCCTTGAGCGCAGGAGAGAAGTGCTCCTTTTCATCCCCTGTATTCTGTGTACAGCCTAAAGACAGCAGGAGAAAGGGAGAACAAAATAGGCATCATAGCCCTGGCTGTTGTCAGGCTTAGATACTTTTTCCCTTGGATTTATCTGTTTCTTTTTGTCTCTATCTTTCTTTCTCTCCTTTAAACCATTTTATGAAGGTATGATTGACATACAATAAACTGTACATACATAAAGTGTGCTCTTTGGTAAATTTTGACCTACACAAACCCCCATGTAAATGTCACCACATTCAAGCTAGTGACTATCTCTATCACCCTCACAAGCTTCCCCATGCCCCTTTATAATCTTCCCCTCTACCCCCAGCCACCACTGATCTGCTTCCTGTCACTATAGATTGGATTACTGTTTCTAGAATTTTATAAAAAATGGAATCCTATGGTGCATAATTTAAAAATAAGCAGTTTATTGAGATGTAATTCACATACAATACAATTTACTTGTATTAAGTGTAACATTCATCAGGGTTCTCCAGAGAAACATAACTAATTTATATATATGGAGAGAGTGAGTGATTTTAAGGAACTGACTCGTACAATCATGGGGGCTGGCAAGTCTGAATTTCTAGGGCAGGCCAGCAGGCTAGAAAGAAGCAGAAGTTGATGTTACAATCTTGAGGCAGAATTTCTTTTCCTAGAAATTTCAGTTTTTGCTCTTATTAAGGCCTTTCCACTGATTTCACAAGGCTCATCCACACTATCAAAAGGAAATCCCTTGTACTTAAAGTCAACTAACGGTAGATATTAACTGTATCCATAAAATACCTTCACCACTGCACCTAGAGAAGTGCTTCATGAAATAAATAGGTACTGTAGCCCAGCCAAAGTGACACAAAACTAACCATCAGGTGTACAACTCAATAATTTTTGTCTTTTCATTTACTAGAGTTGTGTCACTATCACCTACAACCTAATTTTAGAAGTTTCATCACCCCAAGGTCTTAAACACATTTTCTCTTGAGTTTATCTATGTCTTTTTTGCCATCAAGATTACGAGAGGGAAAGGGACCAAAACTATCTCTAGTCTAATTCTTTAGATCTTCTAATCTAACCATTTTTAGCAAGGCTTTTCTGTAATAGCTTAATGAATGATCTATTACTTATCAATACACCAGAATTGAAAATGTCAGCCTCTAACATGGGCTGATTTCTTTTGTTTCTTAGTTTTTTGTTTGGGGGGATTTTTTAGAGAGAAAGAGAAAGAGAGTGCAAGCAGGGGGTAGGGACAGAGGGAGAGAGGGAGAATCTTAAGCAGGCTCCATACTCAGCACAGCACCCGTCCCGGGGCTTGATCTCACCATCTTGAGATCATGACCTGAGCCAAAATCAAGAGTCGAATGCTTAACAGACTGAGCCACCCAGGAGCCCCAAGGGCCGATGTCTTGATTCACATTTAAGAGCGCTGAAGTCTCCTGGTAGGTATTGAGTTCTGCTCTGTGCTAGGTGCGTTCACAGGAGTCATCCCATTTGATTCTTGCCACAACCTCACAAAGGAAGGAGGAGTCGGCCCATTTTGCAGAACACAGTGGAGTCCCAGAGAGGCCAAGAACCGACACATTCAATCAATAGACAAACTGAGATTTGAAAAGAGCCCTTCTTTTTTTTTTTTTTTTTAAAGATTTTATTTATTTATTTGAGAGAGAGAGAATGAGAGACAGAGCACGAGAGGGAAGAGGGTCACAGGGAGAAGCAGACACCCTGCCGAGCAGGGAGCCCAATGTGGGACTCGATCCCGGGACTCCGGGATCATGACCCGAGCCGAAGGCAGTCGCTCAACCAACTGAGCCACCCAGGTGCCCCAAGAGCCCTTCTGATCATAAGTCTTTCTGCTGCAGCCCAGCTGCCCATTTTAGAAGTCACATACTTTATGTGCTTTCAAGAGCTTGATAGCACATCATGTGCACATGATCAAGCCTTACTGGGATGAAGACAAGCCTTGTGAAGGTCCAGAATGCAGGAAGCTAGGCTGGGATGTGAGAATCCCCAGGCTTGAGAAAGGACACCACCAAAGGGCCCTGGCATAATTATGTGGATTTCTTTGTTACAACTGTTGAAGTTCTTGGCTTTTAGAAAACTAGGTTAGAGCATGTTGGGAAAGCACCCTTCCCGGATTTATTCCCTCTTGCCTCTCTCTTGCCAATGCAGTGCTCGTTAGGCAGAAAGAGCCCAGCACCTATATGAAGGACCTGGAGCATTTTGCCTAAGGCTTTGTGTCTCCTTTGCTCCTTCCCCACTTCCTGAACCTGCTGCCTTTGCCACGGGCTCCTTCTCCTCTGCCACTCTGATGAATGTCAAGGTGAGGCTCCATGTTCTGCTGTCATTTCCGAGGAATGGATGCCATCAATCATGTCTCCGGTGCTCCCACAAAGGAACAGTCCCCTCTTCACTCCCTGCATCAAAATGTGTCCTACACGGACAGAAACTCGGTATCACTTCTCCTACTTGTGCCTGAGGCCTCTGAGAATTTACTTAACTGAATTTTTCGTCAGCACAGTACTCTGCTCCATGCCAGCATAACCTGCCATGCTAGAAAATTCTTCTTCTGTTCTTGTTTTAAGATCAAATACATATCGTGTTGCATATCTGAAAGTTGCTAAGAGAGTAGATCTGAAAAGTTCTCATCACAAGAAAAAAATTTTGTCATTATGTATGATGACAGATGTTAACTAAGCTTACTATGGTGATCATTTTCTAATATATACAAATATGGAATTGTTATGTTGTACACCTGAAACTAATAAAATGTATGTCAACTATAACTCAATAAAAATAAAAACCAAATACGTACTTTGTTCTCTCTTCATTTTCTCTCTTCATTCCTACTTAACCAAAAGCACAAACAATTAAGGGAAGAGAGTAGTAGCTGGAGCGAAAACTATATGCTATGCAAATTAGCATATGCTTACAAACTTATAAGCCTTTGGCCAGTACAATATGGTTCAACATGGAAGAAGGGTTTAACCTGATGCAGGAGCACAACACATTCTCTACCATCAATATGCCAACCCTGCTAAGCCTAAAGAAAGGGCCGATTTTTAGAAGGCTTATTATACTGGAAGAGATTTCTTTTTGGTTTCCTTGCAAAGTCAGGGTAAGTTTCCCAGAAGAGCTGGTTTGATTTCTGTTCTCACCTCTTGCCCACTCAGTGAAGTCAGGGAAGTGATAGATTCTTGGGCCTCAGCCCACACATATATAAGGATGGTGAAGATAAGAACCAGTTGCTTTAATAAGTTCTCAAAAATAAGAAAGTGAAGGCACCAGCGCATCACTTAGTAGGTAATTTTTGTGGCTTATACCATGGAACTCCTGGATTTTCCAGGACAAACCCAGTTTCAGATACAGCTCTACTTGTCAAATTCCAAGTTCTGACTCTGGCTTAGTAAATATGTTCACCTTGGTTATAGGTGAGCCTGTGCTAGTTGAGGTTATTTTGGTAATTAATTTTTCTTGGATGGTGTCAAAGATGACTCTGAGCTCTACC